ATCTGCCTGGCCGTTATCTCTGTCGTCCAGATCTACCAAGCGCTCACAAAGAAATGCGATGATTCCCGCAGATCTCAAACCAGGCAGACCACCCTCTGTATCCAATGCAGGAACATCTTCCAGTTCTGGGTGAGCTTGCGCCGCTGAAGTATGTGCACAATCCCGAGCCCAAAGGTAGAGCCTGGAATGACAGCACTAAGCAATGTTTGAAAGACCAACCACGCCTCATCCGACGTACATGAGAATATGATGGAATATTGGCGGGCAGCAGGACGGGTATATGATCATGAGTGCCATGAGTGGATCTACCATCGACCCCGCGATCATCGTGCTCATGGCAGTTGAGACCAGGACGGCCCGAAAGGCATATATCCGGAGTTTGGGGCTGGAATTGAAGCGGTTGAGTGTGGCGAGAGGTGGGTGGGCGGAGCTGAGACGGTTCCCTGCTTGGAAGTTGACATACTTAATAGTCTGATTCGGTGCCAAAAATTATGTGGCTTCCGCGGCAAGCGGTTTCGATCCTGGGCCGGGAAAGTCCACGATGCGACGGGTGTGGCCCACGACAGGCGAAAATCCGCCGGCGAGCGTTCCGGCTGAGAGAGAACAAATACCATTTACCTGTGTCAGACAGAATTTGCTGGCAGTCGACTCAAAGCCTCTCCATTGCATTCCGGGACGAACCTTGGTGTATCTTGGGCTGGCCCATTTCATCGCCAAATGCACTGGACCCAAGAGCTCGGGGAGGAAGGTAAAGAAAGAATAAAGGAGGACAAGGAAAAATAAACCACAGAATGACAGGTGCCGTGCCGTGCAGCTACCCTGCCCCGCCACGGCCCAAGAGATGTGCAACACGCTAAATTGAGAAATTTTGTTGGGCGGGAGAAGACACACATCACAAGTGTTTTGTTTCTCGGCGGCGCTGCGTTCGACCGCAGACATCGGGAAACCTTGGGGAAACCTCGTTCGTTTGGCCGTACTTAGCGCAGCCAAAGTCGTGGGAATAACACCTATGGTTGCAACAGTTATTCTAAGTACATCGTTTGTAAGAGATCACGGCATAGGTATCGCAGGCTTTCGCCCAGCAATCAGCCGAACTGTAAGCATGCAGTGAGAAAGGGTGTAGAGAAAGCGAAAGTGCTGTTTCTTTGCGACTTGCGAACGCAATTTCCAGTTGCTCATTCCCCGAACTAAGTCCTCGAATCGGTCCACGACTTCTTCCATGGTAGGCCGCTTCGAGGGGTCGGTGTTTACCATGTCTGTCACTAGTTGGTTCATAAATTCAAACCCAATCTTCTGGAGCACATATGGGCCACCCTATAGAGAACGTAAGCCGCGGTAACAGGTATATAGCGCAGCTTTCCCACCTCTGTGAAGTCCTCTCTGAGAAGGTTCCCCAAGTAATACACGTCCGTCGGGAATGGATCACAATCGGGGGGATCTTCGTTGTTTTTTATTTGGAATTCTGGCACAGATTTGTCGGCACCAAGGATTGGGGCTTCAACGGTAGGAAGGGCTTCAGGCCTGTAGTGGCGGGAGATGCCAAAGTCGGTAAGGTAGTACTTCACAGGATGTTCTGCGCGACTTTTATGAGAGACGCGGCCACTCCAGTCGCGCTTCATCGTATTGTCCACCGGATGCATCGGGGTCGAGTATAAAGGGGAGCCGTCCATCATGATATTATAACGTGCGCAGTCACTTCTCCGGGTGTGAGTACGAATGATTTCCAAGATGGTGAGACTCACCGGTGTGCGACACCATGCCTGTGCATGTACCTCAATCCCTATAGCAGCTACTTAGTACAGATCATCATTTATTGCAAGACTCCCTCACTATAAAAATTTGTCTGAAGAAGGCGATTGTTTCCCCAATCGAGTCGAAGCGAGGCTTGTCAAATCTCTGGAGCAATGGCATGACTATGATCTGGATCTTTGAGCGGTGAGGGCTCTGGAGCACCTCGAGTATCGGAACACAGTGATTTTCCGGATCGGACCTCTGTGGCTGCTCGCTGAAATAGGTGCCTATCTTAACTTCGTAGGGATGGTCTTTTGTATTAATTTTTTTCAGCACCACAAATGCGCCGTCCTCAACGCGGGTCGCATCCATTATCGAAACGCGCTGTTGAATAAAGATTAAATTGTGAGTTAAGGGTGATTGGGCCGGATTCTCGCACCATGTGCAAAGCCCCGTCTTCGTATCGATTCGAAAATTTTCGTTTGCCGTTCCCCAGAGTCCATGAAGCCTTCCATCCCTCCTGGTATCTTGGACGAAGAACGTACCCCTTGCTTTTAAGCCAATCACGATGATTGTACCAGAAGACTTCGCCTGCCCGCAACACGTGGGCGCCGACGAATGGCTGAGGCTTCATCATGGGAGGCTTGAGCTGCCCCGATTCGGGTCGGGATTCTGCGGCGGCAAGAGCGGGCTCCGCCATCGTAATGTGGAGAAACAGAAACGCTGACGGATAGCAGACGTGAGCATTGTATCTTGTTGACTGTTGTGGGTCTGGCAAAGTGACAGACCGCATCAACGATGCCGTGCAAGCCGGGTCATTGTCAAGCCAAGTGACCATCACTTGCTACTAACGGCTACCTCCTTCACAAAGAGTGGGACGCCAGCTGAAAGTCGGGAAACTTCCGTAGGCCTTGCCTCAATTATTTCTCCAATATTGTTGATGCACTTTGAAACAAGGTGGAGGTAACCCGGAGTCGGCGGTGGTGTCTCGACTGGTTCGCCAGGAACCGACTAAATTTTGAATTCGACCTCGTTCAGGTCTCGCTCAGGGTCAGTGGGCAAAGGCTTCTGGGGTGGCATGCTCGATCCAAGAAATATCCTTTACAACTCAAAGGGACATGATTATATTACGAGACAATTTTGGCTTTCCTACTTGTCAAGTTGTAGGCTGGCAACAGATCAATACCCTCCTGCTATCCGGCCGTCCAAAACTCCACCTCACACTAGGAGGCCTTCAGAGAAACTTTTGAGAAAAATATATTCGCTGTTGAGGAGCAAAATTACCTCGAGTCACTTCCCAGTGTGGTCTATGTTTGGGCCTGTGCCGCTTTGCTGACCTTCTCAGCGTTGAAATGAACAAACCCGGTGCTCGGCAAGGGCTGATAACACATACGGTCTGGTCGTCATTCAGACTGGCTTTCAACTCGGTGCATCTCCTACGCACGAAAAAATGTTAGCTGCCAAAGTCACAAGTACAAAGAGAAGTACCGGCGATTCAGATTACTTACTGCTCGTATTGTTCGAGAATGTCGGCGGACTTCTTGCTCCAGAATCTCCAAGCATCCGAGGATATGCAAGTATCCATGGTGTCTGTCCTGAGCAGCTGTTGGCTTGTTGTACTCTCCAACTTCAAGTTGAAGTGAGGCTCCGGCGGGGCTGTAGACGGAGCGTGTGGATGAGCTCATGGTATCATTATGGGGATCGATTGGTGACCGGTGAAGGGTTTTTTATACACGAACACACCCAACCCCATCACAAGGACAAGGTCGACCTTGCCTTTGTTCTGGATCTGTTCATGAAAACAAATTTAGTCCAAGCACCACTCAATCGGACTTGCAGTTTGCAGGAAACCATGTAGCAACCGGACGCAATGGTATCCACGGCTTCTTTCCCAACCCGAGTAAGAGTAATGCACCCTTTACTCCAAAGTCAAAAAAACCGCTCTTGTCCGCCAAAGAGGAAGAAGGGAGACATGAGGGACAAGCAAAACATGATTGGAGTGGGATTCGAACCCACGCCTTATTAAGACCAGAATGTGCTATGAACACATGAGATGCACTCGAAGAATGCGGGTCCTGAATCTGGCGCCTTAGACCACTCGGCCATCCAACCGCTGGGAGATTTTGCGAGAGATAACATCGTAGTCTGTGTCGGTATAACATCGTAGTCTGTGTCGGTTGTGGAGTCCAGCAGTTGTCGCCGGGGACCAACACAGGGCCTTGATGTCGCGGCACACAAGGCCAAACCAGTTGTTCTTCCTTGCAATCATATGCAGAGTGAATTTCTAGCTCAACGAGTTTGGAAAATCATTGCGCGATGCGCGATTCCGAGAGCACGAAGGTAACATTCAACTGTTGAAGGCGGATGTAAGTAATATTTCAAGTCAATCGTACACCCGCACGCGCCTCTCATATCAGCTCGCGCCACGCTTCGAGTCTGTCGTGTAGGAGCTACTGGCGCGCATCCACTGTATCGGTTGCGTCCCGGCGACCAGGGAAACAGCCCTCCGTCGTCCAAGGGAAAAGCACCGTATTTGTGTACATAGAGCCGCACGCCATCACCGATACGTCGAATTCGCGCACCGATTTCCATTTCGCGCGTCCGCCTCCCCGGCTTCCGCTGGGTCGAAGAAGCCCCTAGCCCGCGCCCGCGCGTGGTACGGGCGTTCGTGAAGGGGGTTTTCACCACGGGGTTGGGGGAAGAACGTCTGGGTCGCGGGCGAGGGGAGCACGGGCTGCACACGGAAGGGCCTCCGTCTCGAATCGTACACTGCATCCGGAGGCCTGGTCCGAGCGTACGAGTCCGTCGCCGGCGCCCGCGAGGGAGGTAGCGATTTCGATGGTTACCTGCGGGAAGACGTAGTTTGGGGATCGGTGCATCCCCAGCTCCGGCTCCCGGGAAACCTCCGTCGACCGGTCCACGGTTCGCCAAGCGCCGTAAATGACACAGAATCGCGCTCGACGTTGAGCGCCGCGCGCGCCTCCTTGAACAGCGGCGGCGCAAACCCTTCCGCGGTGAGAATCTTCACGATGCACGAGCTGCCGCTGTTCCAGCACCGCGATAAAGCCCGCCTTGTCGGTACGATGCGGAAGCGGATACGGCCGCCGAAGGAAAGCCCCGGCTGTCGGGCGAAAACGAAACGTCGCCCGTGGCCAAACGGATCCCATGCTGGCGCATATGCGGGTCGGAGAACTGTGAGCTGCGCATTCGGCGGAGGATGCGATTCAGACCGTTCCCGGCCTTGGATATGTCGAGATACTGGGCCTCCGTGAAGCGGAGAGTAGTGATTCCGGGAGGAAGCTGCGACTCGTCGAGGGGCTTGAGCATTGGGCGTCCAGATAGTTTCCAAAGACGTACCGGCAAGGGAGATCGGTCAAGACCCAAGGGCCAACACCCTTCTTGGAGCGCTAAAGGAGGCTCGCCCACATGACAAAGTATTCGGGGCCCTCCCGTCGTGGCCATCGTCTGTCTCGAAAAGTCTTGAGGGCCATGAATGACGACAGAATATCGGGGTCGACCTCAAGTCGCGCTGTTTGGATCGCACGGACTCGAACCGCTACCACCGCCACAGGCGCATCTCCTTTTGGCCATCGTGGGTTCAAAAGTTCAAATATTCATTCGTACGACGTTCACCACTCGGGAGAGCAGGCCCGCAAAGATGGGCATCAGGATTGGGTGTGGAAGGAATAACGTCGCCCCGTTTTAGGCGCATAGTGTCTGAATCAAGATACATGTACCGTACCAAATTCCACGTTTTCAACTCGATGGACTCCGCCGAGAAAAATCTAGATCACCCGTGCTTGACCTTACCCAGGCCGCACCCGGTCCCCTGTATATAGACTGTGCTTCAAAAAGAAAAACAGACCTCCGAAGTTACAATAGTTCCAGAGCGGAAATCGATCTTCATTCCCGCGGCCGCCGCTACAACAAGCGAGGTACGAGCTGATTTTGTTGTAGCGTCTGTTTATAAGAGACTAGGCCGCCACGGACTCGGACTTGTTCACGCCATTTACATTTACGCGTGAGTCCGATTGAAAAGAGCGTCCGGTATTAGTCTTACAGCCTATCGCCCGCGAGCAGCTGGAGGAGTCAGAATACCTCAGGCTTGAACAACGCCCAGAGCGGGTAAACCTTTTTCGGACCACGCACAGCAGTTTTGAAACTATCATTCCAGCTTGCACGCGCTGCAGATGATAGTGGGCCTCGAGGCATGTCAATCCCCGTCGAGACTCCTTGTGGGCTTCTTTGCTCTTCTACTCCGCCCGAGTTCCACCAAAATTGTTCCTCGATTTCTGCCCTGGACTGGGCCGCTAGAGATGGTCTCCAACTTCACGCTGGAACTTTTGTTTCGTGGCCAAATCAGACAAAATAGTACGGCCTGCGACAAAAACATTCAAGGCTGCGGACTGGGGAACACGCGGTCACTGCAATCTTAGCGCTCAGATATAGGGGTAGGTCGGGCGAGTCACGAAGATGCGGCGCCTACGCTCGATTTGGGTTCCTTTGTCCTGTACCCAAAGACGCGTGTTTGATTAATCCCGCTGACTTGTTCAACCCGCAGTCGGCCTACACGAGTTCTGTGTGGCGCAGGCGCCCAAGGCGTGAGATTAGATGCGGGTAGTTTTGTTCATTGGGACTCACAATGACTTGTATTGCCTCCATTGCTTCAATATCCCGGCGGCTGTGGGAGCATTCGCCGGCGACTTTGTTCTGAATTCGGAAATGGGTGCGAAGAAACCAAACTGAGAGTCTTATTATCGAGGCACTGGACAGTACTACGCGTTAGAAAAGAAACGAACACATTTTCGCTCAGGGTGGGAAGTCTACTGCGGTAACTTAGCATCCCGATCACCTCCCAGAACGAGGCGACATAGTTTCTTCCACAACCCGGTATCCTTCTCCCATATCTGTGCACTTAGCGTAGACGGTGCCAGTGCACCAGCAACACTACGAAGATGTGCTAGTGACGCTTCTGGGGAGGGCCGGTCCTTTGGATTCGCGAGCGTCATAGCATCGGCGACAGGACGAAAATCTTCGAGATCAGGGTAATTCTGTGACGGAATCAGTAGAATAGAATAGGCGATGAGTCATCTGCGAACGTACATCGATTAATTTATGAATAGTAAGACCGAGCTGGAATATGTCGACCATGAATGGGTTATATGGCACGGTTTGTGATAATTCCGGGATGTTGGGAAACGTCCTGAGAGTCCCGCACATCGAAGCGGTGTCCTTTCCTTCTGGAAAATATAGGGAGAGGCCAAAGTCTATATAGTAATAGTTGATTGGCCCGACAGTGCATCGATCCTTCCAAGAGAATAAGTGGAAGTAGAAGCCGTCGTGAGTCTCGGGTCGAGCGAAATGGGAGCCCTTTGGCACGACGCGAGATTCATCCATCACCATGTTTTGAGGGGCAATATCGCTGTTGAGGAGAAAGTAATTCTGGAAATGTCTCTTAGGTCGAAGACTCACAAATGAGCGATGTTATGCTCATGCATGAATTGCAGACCCTGGGAGGAGGTAAGCTACCTCAAGATAGAATGAAGCCAGTGTCACCTCCAGAAATTGAGTCATGGCATCGACAAATTCGTTCCGGCAATGAAAAGGCGGGTAATTGAATTCTCGACAATAAGGCATGACGAGGAAGGACCAGGAGGTGCCTGGCGCAGATAGAATGTCCAACAAGGGAATTGTCCGGTTCCTAGGGTCCTCGCGCACAGAGGGGTCAGTAAGATATTTTATGGTGTCCATTTCTTCGCCGTCGGTTTCAACACGCTTCAAAATGACCTTCTGGCCGTCATGAACGCGGGTGGCATCAAGAACGGAGTCCTATGTTCTGATGGTAAGTTCCATCATGTCTCGAGAGAGCAGAGCGAATCACAGGGTGGGAAGCAATGTTGTCTTCGTACTCCTGGCTGAAGTTTTTCTGCACAGTCCAAGATGGGATCCAGTCGGGGCGATACCGCGGTCGTAGTTGGTAGCCCTGAGCAAGGAGGAAAGGTTGCATGTTGACCCAAAATCGTTCATTCTCGTAGAACGCATATCCGCGTGTTTTTGAACTTGTATCCGCCATCGCAGGAGAGTGGGTGCAAGTAGACGCAAGTCACAACACAGGCGTGGGACTACGATCGATCGATCAAGCTTCCATTTTGAACGCACATCCCCATTTAGCGATCGCGGCAGCGCTGGGTAACGCGATCTGCCAAAGTTGAATCTCGCACAAACTGACTCGGACGAATGGACCCACACCCAGCGCATATAAAAGCCGAGCATACTGCCCTCAAACAAACAGGGTCTCATCTGCTCTTCACCCCTTCGCTCCCGTCCAGCCCCGTTCCGCCTTCACAAATCATTTCCTCGCGCTGCAGAATGCCGACGGTGAGACTATCCCCTCCAACAATGCCCTCCTGATACAATAATAAATACACAGCATACATTGAACGGTCCACATTACACTGAACTCAAGCACACGATCAATGGCTACATCCGCGACCTGAGGAATTCCGGATTTGAACCGGATTCGAGACTTCGAGACAAGACTATCGATAAACTCAACGAGTTCGTACATATACATGCCATCTGGGTTTCACTCGTTCCTCACCCTCATGTTTCATATCAGTTTCATCGCCGACTTTCATGAAGCGGACGGGGTGTTCAAAAATTGGTTCTATGGTTGGATGAGTACTAGGGTCGCAACGGAAGCAAATAAGGACCTCGCAAACATCTGGCGGGATTACAATGTTCGTTCCAACCATTTTTGTCTATCTGAATGCCGAAATTGACAATAGCGGGCGTCGAACTTGGCCGCGTAGAGAGGTCCCACGTCGATCTCACGACTTACTAACTAACATTTATTCTTCCAGACAAGAGCGTGCGCAAGCCGCAAGGGGCAGAGATCGAAGACCGCGCACGTACGTGCAGATGCTCGATATATCTGTGTTTCATTACCCTCATGCTCTCGAACCCAGGCAGCCGATGACGGTACCAGGAAAGTCAGTCATTCCAAATATCTACTCTACTTGTCCTAATCCTCCCAAAAGCGCTCGGTCGGGACCGCCTCCCCCTAGCCCCCCTGCTGCAGTTCCTTTTCCCCATGTTGGAAATGCTCAACC